CACAATATAGAAACACTACTGCTTTGTCCCCCTCCCAGTTCGACGTCAATCTTGACGGCACCGAGAAACTTCATTTTGTTGTTTGATGCGTCATATACTTGCACACCGTCTCCGGTTTAATGACTCAAGGCTATCTACATCGTAAACCTCTGTCTTTTGCTCTAGCCAATCCTCCACTCCTACAGGTATTATGCTTATCATTGAACCTGTATCCAGCAAAGCGGGTACACGGGTCTGTGAAATCCTTGCCCATCGTGACCTCCTTCCAACCAATGGTGTCACTTCTCTTGGACTGCCTACCGTACTCCCATGCTCCGCGCTTTTTTGATGGTGCTTGAAATCCCATCTTCTGCTAGGATCTCCTTTCGTTCTTGGTCCTCATGGATTCGCTTTCCACGCGTCCTTTGTGGGCATTGTTCAACTATATGACCATGCTTCAAACAATTGAAGCATTTTTTCTCACTGGTTTTGATTTCTGAAGGCCTCTTGCCATTTGAAAGCATTCGGGCTCTTGTGCTCTATGCGCAGGATCCCCTTCTGTATACTTTCGTTTGACTACTTCCTGGTTATTCTCTTTTTTTGTTTCCATAACTTCATTTTCCGTTGTGGATTTTTCGCCCTCCACACTGTATGATGTCGCTTTTGTTTTCCAGTCTCGATATCTGCTATAACCTTCTGGTTGTGATTATCTGTACCTATATCTGTACATTCTTTTAGAGAGTTCTATAGATAAGGCCAGTTGTTTAACTTCTTCATACGCCTTTTCTGGTTTAGCCCTATGAAGTGCGCTCAGCAATTAGACGTGTTCTGGCCAGTGTTTCAAATTTGTTCCCAGCTTTTCTGAAGCTACGCAGAAATTTGAAACCTCTTGGTGGGACCGAATTCTCAGTTCGCGCAGCTCAGCAATGGCTCGCATTCTACCAGCAACACTATCTTCGGCTAGTAATTTTGCTAATTCCTCGACAACTGCTTCAAAACCTTGTTTTCTGATTTCTACTGGCAGCGAAAGAAACACTGATTTTGCTCTGCCGCCTAAGTGGTCATCACCTAGTATCTCGATGAGCGCCTGGTCGCTCGCTACAACCTCACAGATCCCAGGGTCAACGCAAGACAAAGATTGGAAACATTTAATCATATCAATGGTTATATCCTGACCTTGTGTTCCTTTTGGTTCCTCCAAGGAGTTCTCCGCACATTGCTTCCATCTGGGCTCGTAACGTGCTCCAATCCGCTGTATCGCTGGTGCCTGCAACAGCACGATATTTTCTTCTGGATTAGCGGTCACCTCACTGTGGACCTCACCATACTCACCGTATTTTTCGTTTCCATGTCTGACCTTAGTGGCGTTCTGCCCATCGATTTTCGCTTTCATCTCTTTCACTACATTCCCGACCTGTAACATGTCAGTATTCAGTATGTTGCTTTCTTTCTTTATCTTTCCTTGGAATTTCACCCTCTTCTTCTAGAGTGTTTATGTACTCTTCCCATTTATGTTCGGACTCGATCCCGTTCCTGTCTAGAACTTCGAAGACTTTCCCTTGAATTACCGTGGTCAGCACTTATTCGCTAATATCTCCATTTCCTTGCTTCTCTGCGAAACACTTCCAAAAGTTTCTCTTTATTAGGGTAGAAAATTTATACAGTTCTTGTCCCTTTACCACCTCGGGAATTTGCTTTAAAGGCACTTTCCGCGATAAAATAAGGCTATGACCTTTCAAATGTGTCAGACGATCCGGAAGGAGATTGCGGAGGCTGCGCTACCTTTAGAAAGTGAAAATCGGCAAGAATTCCGCTTTAAGCTAACCAATTAGGCCCATGGCGCCCTTAGGCCCATGCCGACCCCCACCGGCTGCTAGCTACTAGCTAGTAGCCACTATGCTATCTCTCTCCATTCCGAATGAGAGTGAGGTGATACGATAAAAGAGCTGATATCTTTATGATAACGACGAGTGGAAATTCGTACAAACATGCGTTTTCTTCATGCATGCTTGTAGCAAGTAGCCACTATACTATCGAAATTCGTACAAACATGCGTTTTCTTCATTGCATGCATGTACAAGTTGGGGTCGATATGGAATCCTATTTAGGGCATTTTCGGCTGTTTTTCTGCTGCTTTTCTCCGCTAATCAGATACCTAGCCCTTTTTCGTTCCTATGTGGGTTCCGTTACCCACAATCTGTGGTCGCGGGCTTTGCCTTAACTGTGAGCTTTTCTGTCTTAACTCGTTAACAATGAGCTTCACCGGATGTCACTTTTTTCTCTACTCACCATTAGTCTTTGCTCCGTCGCTTCCTCCTGCATTTGTTCCTCTAAGGAATCGTCCATATTGACCTCGCTATCGCTCAGCATATCTATAAACTTGAGGTCAGTTGCTGTTACTTGGTTACACGAACACGGATCGTTGTTTGAATCTTTTCACTTGATTTCACTGTGTTTTTTTTTTGGCACCACGTAGATCGTGCTCAATGAAAGCTCGAAGTGAATCCTGGGCCCTGTCTCAGGTTCTGCCCTACTCAAAAGTGAATCCTGGGCCCTGCCTTAGGTTCTGCCCTACTTTCTTGGCTCCACTTCAGCCGACTGTTGATCAAAGTTGTCTTCAGCTCGCCCTGTCTCACGAGCTGTTGACCAGTGTGCAGTACTTTACTGCAGCCTCTTCACCAGCAACTACTCTCACTTATGCTTCAGCCGGTTCGGCCCCCATGTGGGGTCGTTGTTGCCCCATTTCTTTTTAAGTATGTGAGTAGAGCTAGCAGTGATCGAATCGTTTATTGGATCAAGCAAACAAACAGCGAATATGAAGAATCACGAATGAATGAGAGGAACAGAGAGGGCGATGGAGGTGATTGGGTGCCACCGGCCACGAGGCAGCACCTATCACTTGATGATCTCTATCACTCCCGCTTATCTATACTTAACAGGTCAACAGGTTACCTCCTGTTGAGTCGTACGGGAGGTTGCAAACTTGTATACATGTTCATACGCGAGCGCTGGCTTATAGCGCTTTACGCTTTATTCCGTAGCCAAAGCCGCTTCTACAACAGAAATCACTAAGTTCCAGTGTGGAAAAATGTGCCGTCTCAGGCGCAAGTCATGGGAAAAATGGCTCATCGTCAACGTCTTAAATGGCCCTCACTAAGGTTGTTGATGGAAGATAATTGTGGTAAGAGTGATTAGTCAATTGCTGCTGTTCATAACATCTCTGTAAACAAACCCCATGCATTTGGAATAGAGCTAGCTTAGCGGTCGTACATGATGTCGTTACTAATAAGCAGTGAGGAATGAGTTCTGTTGGAATCATTGAGATCGTTATACTTGAGTCATATCGATCGCATTGTTGTTGTGAGCGGTGAAGCGGATTTTCCCATGTTACCTTGTCACTTTTAGCTCCTATCACTTCCGTCACCCGCCAATAATATTCCCGTCCCACACTATCATATCACCCTATATCACCTCTCGGATCCAAGGTCCCACTGTTGCTGTAACCTGCGTTACGAATTTGATGACCCTTCCCTTCCGAGGCCGCTTATCGGATCTTATCAACTGTTATCACTTTCTGTCACCCGCCAATAATGTTCCCGTCCCACACCCTATATCACCTCTCGGATCCAAGGTCCTGCTGTTGCTGTGTCCTGCACTGTGGACTCGCTGACCCCCTTCTGACGCCTCTTATCGGATCTTATCAGTTGTTATCACTTTCTGTCACCCGCCAATAATGTTCCCGTCCCATCCCCTATATCACTTCTTGGAACCAACGTTCCACGCTCACTGCGACGCGTGCTATGAATTTCGTGACAGACAGACGGACGCACACACACACACACACTGACAGACATACTTAGTGAATTATATATAGTAGGATGGGCAAGAACATCATTAGTGGGTCACAAAAACTGTAAGCTGCTGATAAGATTCGATAAGGGCGTTAGAAGGGGAAGGTTACCATATTCATAACGCGGTGACAGCATCAGCTAGCTCTTGATTCCAAGATATGATATAGGGTATGGGCCAAGAACATTATTGGTGGGTGACAAGAACTGTAAGCTGCTGATTTAATAAGGGGCGTTAGAAAGGTGAGGTCATCGTATTCACAGCGCAGGTCACAGCATCAGCGAGGCGTACGTCTCAGCAAGTGATATAGAGGGTGAGATGGGGACATCTCGTGGGTGACTGGAAGCGATAACTACTGATAGGGGCTGATAAAGAAAGTTGCAGTCGTCGTCGCTGTTCAAGGTGGTTCACGCTACCAAATCATAGAGATTTAGTGATGAGGACATTGATGACGGGTGACAGGTAATCTTATCAATCGATAAAAACCGATAAGATACCATCTGCGCTACATTTTTATCACTTCTTACCGCTTTAATGCCGAGTATTAGAGGCTCAGTGTGTGAACTCTTCCTTTGATGTCAACGGAATCAAGGTCGTCCATTGAAGTATTCGCTATTAGATGCATGAAATGACGTCGAGCGAGGAGGGGGGGGAGGGTATATAGTGCGGCTGAAACGGGAAAATCGGGAAATTGGAAATTCGTCAGCCAAAAAAATTTTCGCAAATCTGCCTGCTGTGTGATTTTTAGGAGGCTGCGGTCGCAATTGAAGCAATGTAAGGAGGGAATGTGGTTTCGTCTCGGTGGTTACATTTGAGCTCTCCGTGCGACACTAACCTTGACATGTACGGACAATGTGAAGTTCTCTTTTCAGTGCCATCCATGATTCTGCACTTAAGCCTCTGGATGTTAAGGATATCCGGACTTATTCAACTTTATCCCATTCTGCTGTCGCAACTGCGGTCCTTAATGATATGGTGCAGCCTTCTCACGGTTGAAAGTCTGTAGTAAGCAAGAGGGACCAGATGTTGGTAGATAATGACTGATGTTGAGCTATTTTCAACTCATTTTCCTACATTTTAATAAAAAATAACTGCCACCATTTGGCACATTTAGCGCATTCTACCTCGCCCAAGGGAAGAGTGCCTGGCGAAGCCGGGCCGTGAAACAGAAGGAGGAGCACCCGGCGGCAGCCGGGTGATCCGACTGGTGGTCTTTAGAATGGAGTAAGCATGCGGATCTGTAGAACATCTCCTAGAACAGCGACTTCAATTAGAAATTGCATGTTTTTGACTACAGCTTTCGGCAACCGGCACACTTCATAACTTGTAGAGCAAGGGGTGTGTACCCCATGCGAAAACGGCATGCGTTTCTTAGAGAAAATCTTCATCTGAAATTACCAACATCGGATCTGATGTTGGACAAGGTAATGGTTACAGATGTGCTACAACAAAATATCCTGCTTTAAACGAAAATATCTTGCGAAAATATCTTGCACTCTGGCACGTTCCAACAGAGTACGCAACGACGCCCTCTCCGTCTGTGCGACATGGAGTGGAGCCATCCTTTGGTCCATCTTATCCAGTGCCTTACCTCAATTTGCAAAATTCAGCTCCTCAAGACGGTAGATCGATAACATCAAAAATATTGGGCATCGGAAGAATGGATATTGAAGCT